GTTGGGAAAATGAAAACCATAATATGATTCCTGGATAGTTTTTTATTATCTGAGATTTTGGGAAAAAATTTTCCCCCTTTTTTTGTGTGATGAAAAAATTCAAAAGGGAAAAAAGTAAGTATAATTTAGGAGAGGCCTGGGAGGGAAATTAATTAAAAAAGGGAAAATTTTGTTTTAGTCCCGGGAATTTTACATTGTTTTTTTTTGGGAAATTTTAAATTTTCAAATTGGTATCTTTTAAATTTTGAAAAAAATTTGGGGCCAAAATTTTCCCCAATTTCTGTGCCACTTTAAAAGGGTTTGGGTTTAAAAAAGTTGTTTGGGCATTTTTCCTGTCCTCAGTCAATAGATTGGGGGCCCATTTTTTAAGAAAAAATAGCTAAGAATTTGGGGTTTAATTGGGGCCAATGGAATAGCATAAAATCCCCGGGCCCAAATGGGTGAAATCCTCTCCAAGATACGATTTTACATGCCGCAAACTGCCCTTCTCCACTATACCTTCCCCTTATATTCCTACCTCACCTATGCTATCTGTGTTTGGGTTAACGCGCAACACCCCAAAAACCAAAAATAACCAACAAAAAGCTGCAGTAAGAAAAAATCAAAAAACCCCACCCCCTGGCAACACCCCCCCCCACTTTTCAAGATCAAAATTATCCCGTTCATAATCCACACTTATACGTGAATTACATCTACAGGACTTAAATTCCAATATTAATTTGACCTAAAATCTTTCTTGAAGTTGTGACAAAACCCACAGGCACAACACCAGACACAAACATCTTTTTGCATTCCCGGTCCGAAAAAAACCTTTAAAAAAATTTCAATTTGTCAAAGGCCCAAAAAATCTGAACACCCTACCTAAAAATTCAAAACTGCAGACCATTCATCACCCCCAAAAACACCATCAAAAAACATCTTACCCCCTATACCCCCTGCCCAACTAATTTACCAATACCAGCTGGTGGTTAACATTTACACTCCTCCCCCTTTTTGACCAAAACAAAATATCAATCTCAATCTAAAAATAATGAATCTTAACTATCATAATTTGGGGCCTGGAACTCCAAACTGAAACTATTATAGTCCCAAAAACAAAAGCAATTCACATTGCTAAACTCACAAACTATATTTATCATTTAGCCAAATACCAACTTACCTCTAATTTTGTAATATTTTAAACTTAAGTTTTAATTTAAGTCTGCCCAAATCCTAGCATGTGGTGTTCAGTGGTACACTCTGTAATTATTATTTTACTACATGAAAACCCACACAAAACCAAATTCTGTAAACTCAGCATTGTAATCCTTAAGAGAAAAAACTTTAAATTGAATTGAATTGAATTGAATTGTGAAATTGCGCAAGATCGCTAACTTTGCTATGTGTAATTTCAAAAAAAGTTTTCCATCTAATTTCATTTTTTAAAGTCATATCTTAAAAAAGTTCTCTACCATCTAAAGTTTTTCTATAAAAAGTGGCAAAAAGAGGAATATTTTTTGGGTCTAGACAGTAAAGGGTTAAAAACTGTTAGTATTTTTTGGCAAATTAACTCGGAAAAGACAACTTATTATTGTATAAACCGCTAAAAAACAGGAATCTTGCTACTCCCTACTTAAAATTTTGGTCACACTTCACAGCCCGCAAAATGCATAAATTATTACATAATCAGGTTTTTTCCCCTTTTTTCTAAATAGCTCTTGTTCTTTTTTATTTTTTCTATTGTCCGGGGGAAGGGAAAAAATCTTTCCTCCGAAACCATGGGTCGTATGAGGCACTAAAATCCGGGAGAAAAGGGCTAGTAACCCCCTTTTCCTGTATACAATTTAAAAAAGAGAGAAGAAAAACTTTTTAAAACTGGGTTGTAAATGTGCGTGGATTATGCGGATACAAGAAACAATGTTGTGGTTATGAATAAAAGAATTGGATGTCCGGCCCTAAGCAAACAAAGCTGAAGGGGGGAGGAGGTTTTCAGTGGGGGGAAAAAAATGGGGATTAAATCTGGATTCTGGAGAGTTAAGCAAAGGAAGGGGGGCAGAATGTTAAATGATCAGTTTTTGGAAGAGAAAAGAGAATATGAAATTTAAATTCAAGAATTAGTGGGTTAAAGTAAAGGTTGGATGCGAGAAGGGGCATAAAAAGCGGTATGCACCTGGGGAAGAGAGGAAAAGCAAGGAAGGGGAGAGATTTGGGAGATGGTTAAGTGAATGTATAGGGCCTTTGAACCAAGTAAGAGTAATTGTGGGAGGGGACTTTAATGCAAAGTAGGAGAAAATTTTAGGAGGGGGTGGTAGGTAAGTTTGGGGTGCCAGGGGTAAATGATAATGGGACCTTTGATTGAACTTTGTATAGAAAAGGGGGTTTTGTTATAGGAAAAACATATTTTAAGAAAAAAGGGTAAATAATATACACGATATGATGTAGGGCGAAATGACGGTTTGTTGGGTTTTGTATTGGGAGATAAAAGACTGTTTAGTAGACTTCAGGATGTAATTTTATAGAGGGGGCCCCAGATTATCAATCCTTTTTTAGTTGTAGCTACAGAGAGAAAAGGTAAAAGGGGTACAAGGAGAATAGAAGCATAGGAAGAGAGAGGTGAATTTAAACAAAAGAGGGGCATTTTGGGGAAAAATAAAAGCTATTTGGGGATAATGGGGTAATGAGAGCAAGGGAATGGGGTCGAAGAGGGATGGGGTAGGTTTAAAAAGTAGTGTTTTGAGTGTTACAGAAGTTTGTGGTTACAGGAAAGGGGGGAGGGGGGAAGAGGGGCGATTGGGGGAATGATGATGTAAAGGAGTAGTAAGGGAGAAAAATTAGCATATAGAAGTTTTTAAAAAATAGAATGATGCAAGGGGGGAAGGAAAAGGGGAAAAAGAGAGAAGTTTAAAAGAGTGGTAAGCAATGTAAAAAGGAGCAAATGAGAGGTGGGGGGGAGTTACAACAAAATTTTGTTGAAAAAAAGAAAAAGTTTTGGGGTGAGATTAACAAGTTAAGAGAGCTAGAGAACAAATGGATTTGTCAGTTAAAAATAGGAGAGGAGAGTTATTAAATGGAGATTTTAGAGGTATTGGGAAGATGGAAGGAATATTTTGAGGAATTGTTAAATGTTGATGAAGATAGGGAAGCTGTGATTTCGTGTATAGGGCAAGGAGGAATAACATCTTGTAGGAGTGAGGAAGAGCCAGTTGTGAGTGTGGGGGAAGTTCGTGAGGCAGTAGGTAAAATGAAAGGGGGTAAGGCAGCCGGGATTGATGGGATAAAGATAGAAATGTTAAAAGCAGGTGGGGATAATAGTTTTGGAGTGGTTGGTGCAATTATTTAATAAATGTATGGAAGGGGGTAAGGTACCTAGGGATTGGCAGAGAGCATGCATAGTTCCTTTGTATAAAGGCAAAGGGGATAAAAGAGAGTGCAAAAATTATAGGGGATAAGTCTGTTGAGTGTACCTGGTAAGTGTATGGTAGAGTTATAATTGAAAGAATTAAGAGTAAGACGGAGAATAGGATACAGATGAACAAGGAGGCTTTAGGAAAGGTAGGGGTGTGTGGACCAGGTGTTTACAGTGAAACATTATAAGTGAACAGTATTTAGATAAGGCTAAAGAGGTCTTTGTGGCATTTATGGATTTGGAAAAGGCGTATGACAGGGTGGATAGGGGGCAATGTGGCAGATGTTGCAAGTGTATGGTGTAGGAGGTAGGTTACTGAAAGCAGTGAAGAGTTTTTACGAGGATAGTGAGGCTCAAGTTAGAGTATGTAGGAAAGAGGGAAATTTTTTCCCAGTAAAAGTAGGCCTTAGACAAGGATGTGTGATGTCACCGTGGTTGTTTAATATATTTATAGATGGGGTTGTAAGAGAAGTAAATGCGAGGGGCTTGGCAAGAGGCGTGGAGTTAAAAGATAAAAGAATCACACACAAAGTGGGAGTTGTCACAGCTGCTCTTTGCTGATGACACTGTGCTCTGGGAGATTCTGAAGAGAAGTTGCAGAGATTGGTGGATGAATTTGGTAGGGTGTGCAAAAGAAGAAAATTAAAGGTGAATACAGGAAAGAGTAAGGTTATGAGGATAACAAAAAGATTAGGTGATGAAAGATTGAATATCAGATTGGAGGGAGAGAGTATGGAGGAGGTGAACGTATTCAGATATTTGGGAGTGGACGTGTCAGCGGATGGGTCTATGAAAGATGAGGTGAATCATAGAATTGATGAGGGAAAAAGAGTGAGTGGTGCACTTAGGAGTCTGTGGAGACAAAGAACTTTGTCCTTGGAGGCAAAGAGGGGAATGTATGAGAGTATAGTTTTACCAACGCTCTTATATGGGTGTGAAGCGTGGGTGATGAATGTTGCAGCGAGGAGAAGGCTGGAGGCAGTGGAGATGTCATGTCTGAGGGCAATGTGTGGTGTAAATATAATGCAGAGAATTCGTAGTTTGGAAGTTAGGAGGAGGTGCGGGATTACCAAAACTGTTGTCCAGAGGGCTGAGGAAGGGTTGTTGAGGTGGTTCGGACATGTAGAGAGAATGGAGCGAAACAGAATGACTTCAAGAGTGTATCAGTCTGTAGTGGAAGGAAGGCGGGGTAGGGGTCGGCCTAGGAAGGGTTGGAGGGGGGGGGTAAAGGAGGTTTTGTGTGCGAGGGGCTTGGACTTCCAGCAGGCATGCGTGAGCGTGTTTGATAGGAGTGAATGAGACAAATGGTTTTTAATACTTGACGTGCTGTTGGAGTGTGAGCAAAGTAACATTTATGAAGGGATTCAGGGAAACCGGCAGGCCGGACTTGAGTCCTGGAGATGGGAAGTACAGTGCCTGCACTCTGAAGGAGGGTGTTAATGTTGCAGTTTAAAAACTGTAGTGTAAAGCACCCTTCTGGCAAGACAGTGATGGAGTGAATGATGGTGAAAGTTTTTCTTTTTCGGGCCACCCTGCCTTGGTGGGAATCGGCCGGTGTGATAATAAAAAAAAAAAATAATTATTCAGAGTGCATTACTTGCTGCGTCTCTTGCAGATATGGGAGTTTTGTGACTCTGCTAGCCACAATGAGGATGCCCCAACACCCCACAACCTACTGTGTGAAGCCAAAAGCGTCTGGCATGTCATCAGCAAACACTCGGACTTCTCCAGGCAGCTACCTGAACATGCAACACAAGAAACCACAGCAGACACCACCCACTACACCCCACAGACCATAAGCCAGCACAGTAGCCATCACCCCCAACACACTGATCAGCTCCAAGTGATAGAAACTAAGGAGTTTCAAAAATTTTCTTCTGAAATGGATAACTTGACCATTTCCCAGAAGCTCCAATTGTAGTCCATAGTTTTAAAAGGGAATGAAACCAGAGCAAAGGTTCACAAGCTCTGAATCATTTTCCAATGCCCAAAGTTGGGTTTTTAGGTGAGGTTAGGCCACGACTGACAGATTTAAGTAAGATAGCATAAGCAGGAGCAGCTCCGAAGTGATTGCACCAAAGTGAACCATCAAGCACCCAGTACCCAGAAGGTGGAAGTGTCAGTAGCAGGAGAGGAAGAAGAGATAATATTCATGATATATGGAGTGCTGTGGTGCCCTGCATCCTAGCCTTATCACTGCCCACATTGCAACATCCACCCTAACCCCCGCATCAGTTTAAATCCACCCCTCTACATCTCCCTGTGCCTACGCAGTTTCGTCATGACACACCTCCCATCTTCGCTCTGAGGAAAACTTGATGGCCACTGAGAACTTAGCAGACAGCCATGACATCAGTTACACTACTGAAAACCTAAGGTAAGTTTGGACAGTGAGTAGTAGGCAGTACTTCTTGTCTTGATAAACCTTCAGTGGTAGTTAGTAAGTAAATAAGTAAGTTTATTCAGGTTAACACAAATACAATTACAGTGGACCCTGGAATTTAGTAGTGCCTTTTCTCTACGCAAAACTAATTTTATTATCTATAAAATGTATGTTTTGTTAATATTTCCCATAGGAAATAATGTAAATCCAATTGAACCATTCCAGACACCCAAAAATATTAACAAACAATACATTTTATAGATAATAAAAATAGTTTTGCATACAGAAACGGCACTACTAAATTCGAGGGTCCACCGTACATAGATTATCATACATAGCAGCATATATGTAAAGAACCTAGGATAATCCAAAAAAGTCAGACAGAGTGACTTATTTCCACTGGGGTCCTTTCAGTAGGTAGACACTGTGTTTGTCTGTAGAGGAACCTCAGTCTGGCATTCACTTTCTTTACTACGCTGTTCCCTATCAATTATCCTGACATGCATGGGTCAAAGGGGATTACCAGATATTTTACTGAGAAAACTGAAGTGATGGGTTCCCCATTACACTGGACATTAAAATTATTTACCCTTCTCAGTTTATGTTTCATGCCAAAGAGTATGGCTTCAGTTTTCCCAAGGTTTAACAAAAGTTTGTTGTCTACTAACCATTTGCTGTAGGACTCCAGTTCCTGTGTTATTACATTAACTATATCTTGTGAGTCTTTACCTGACACTAACAGAGCACTGTCATATGCATACAGTTGGAGTTTGCATTTAACACTGATAGACATGTCATTAACATAACAAAGAAATAATAAGGGACCCAGAATACTACATTGGGGAACTCCACATGCTATTGGCAAGGATTCCGATTCTGTTTTGTTGATTTTGACAATTTGTTTCCTGTTGCTAAGGTAGGGCTTAATCAGTCTACAGAAAACCTATGCCAATAGCTTGAAGTTTCTTACATAATATGTTGTGGTTGACAGTATCGAAGGCTTTGGCAAGTCTAAGGTTACCATTCCTATGAGGTTCCCATCGACATTTCAGTTTCATGTAATCCATCAGATTAATTAGGGAGGTGTTGATTGAGTAAGATCTTCTAAAACCTGATTGATAGCTATGGGGAATGTTGTTGTCATTAAGGTACTTAACTACTTGACAGTACACTGCCCTCTCAAGAATTTTGGATATTACACTGAGTATACTAACAGGCCTATAGTTGCTTACATTAGACCTACTATTTTTCTTGAAGATAGGAGTAACTCTGGCCTCCTTGAACCCCTCCAGTACGGTATTAGTGGTGATGGACAAATTTATTATGTGAGCAATAGGGATTGACAGTTCAGAGGTACCATCTTTTAGGAACTTAGATGGGATGTTATCAGGGCTGGTGCTCTTAGTTGGGTTTAACCTGCTTAGTTCTTTTTGAACAAAGTCATGAGATACACTTGCTAGTTGACAACTGTTTGGGGTTATCCCTTTATTGGTACAATATGTTTTAAACTTATCAGAATCTGTGTTAAAGGTATTTGGTGCAGCAGTAGCTTACTTAGTAGGGTTGAGGCAACGTGTGTAGTAGGAATTAAAGCAATTTGCCACTTTATTGTTTCGTAGCATACCTCATTATCGACTTTTTATTTACTGTGTTAAAATCTATCTACTGGTTCATGGCTATACCCCAACTGTTTTTATTTGTTCCCAGAGCTTTTTGGGTGATTCTTGCACTCTTCAATTTTTAGCAATAGTGCCTTGCCTTTGCTCCTTTTATAAGCCTCTACACTCTTTTTCCTCACCTTTGGAATTCATTTAGCACTATAAATCTTGTCTGTCTGCCCTAATTTTTTTTAAAAACTGGTCTCTGATTTATAATATCTAAATCTCAGTATCATCCAGGTTCGGTTCTCCATTTAAATCCTAATCTCTTTAACTGGTGCAGTCTTATCAAGGATGGCAGTAAACGTTGTTTTGAATTTTTCCCAGGCATCAGTTACGTCCATGCAACTCGTTATCACTCCCCAATCACTACTGTGTAGCTATTTAGCAGTGTGTCTTTAACGTAGTTTTAGTTGATCTCAATTTTATTGTCTGTGTAGGCTATCCTTTCCCTAGTGATTTTCCTGGTGCATTTAATGATGAAATGATCACTAAGACCTGTGGTAATGACGCCTGACTGACTAATGTTCTCAGAGCGGTTACAAAGAACTGTGTGGTCAGTTAGGGTGGCTGAGAACTGTGTGATCCGGGTTGGTGTATTAATTAGTGAGTGTAACTATTTAAACCTCGAATTTGCTTATCCTTTTGCATACCCTGTTATTTCATTGCTGAAAAACAGATTTTGAAGTTTCCCAGTACTACGTTTTCACATTTGTTCTCAAGTCCGGACAAGTCTCTGGAAAAGTCTTCTAAGAACTGGTCCTGGGTGGCAAGGTGGTAATTAGTTCCTGTAAGATGGGTTTTTTGTCTTGGGAAGCAGCACTTCAAACCAAGAATCTCCAGTTTTTTTGTCATTTAAATCAGGTCTTGGGTTGTAAGCTAAGTCATTTCTTATGTAGGCACATACCCTACAACCTTTTCTGTTCCTACCTCACAATGCAATGGAAAGCTCATTCAACTCAAAAAATAAAAATACCTGGGGTCAGAGCCAGGGTGAGGCAAAATTAAGGGGCAGACCATCTAACATTTAGCTGCCCCTGTAACTTGGTAGTAAATATTAAATCGTTTTTCTAGGAATTTGTCAACTCTGATGTGTCACTTCATAGTGAGCACCTAAAAAGCATCCCAGTGACAGTAAGCTGTGCTGCTCTCATTTCTTAGCTTATTCTAAGTTATTATCCCTCCAGGGGTTATTGTAATAATAATAATAATAATAATAATAATAATAGTTTATTAGGGCATGAATACATAGTTGTACAAGGTATTATAGTAGTTGGGTGTACATGTCAAAAGCCCCTTGTATGCAGAGGATTATGGGCAGGTTTAAAATTAACTTAAGATTACTAAGCTAATATAAATTAAATGGTAACAGTTACAGTAGACAATTTACAATACAAGTACAATTGAGTATTTAAACAATGAAATTTGAACATTTCAATTTTGAAGCATTATAGTTTTACAATTTTGTAACATTACAGTGAATAAAATAAAAAAGATCAATTTACTATATGTAGTCATAAAGATTTATTAATCAGATCTAATCAACTCAAATCAATGATCTGTAGTGCAGTAACAGTTCATATGGTCATGAGATAAGTTTTCAGGGCATTCAAGAGAATGGATTATTCTATTTTGGGTAATGCTATAAAAACATAGTTTGATAAGGTTTCTCTAATTATACAACTGGGTTATACATTTATGAAATATATGTTATTCAATATTTACATTAGATTATATATGAGAATTTATTGATCTTTGAGCATTTATTTATGGGATCCTAAGGCTAGGGGATAACACAGTGAGTAAATGATATTTTGAGGCAGTTAGAAAGTGATTTACTAACTATGTAAAGGGAAAGTTTTAAAATTTAAATACTGTGTATTTAGTTTTGGGTGAGTAGGTGGTTTTTTAAGAAGAATCTTTAATTGATATGCAGACAGTTTTTTCATTGGGAATCACTGGTAATGAATTCTTTAAAATTTTTTGGGGCCTTTTATGTGCATTGAGTTTTTACATAGTGTGAGATGAACACATGGAACATCAAAGAGTGATCTGTGTCTTGTGTTATGGTTTAGTGTTCTGTTAAGGTTGGTAAGGAGAAGTTTGAGGGGAGGGTTTATATCTGGGTTTAGTGTTCTATGTATGTAGTAGACACAATAATAAGTATGGTGTTTTGTACGGTGAGTAAGTTTAGACTTTTTAATATTGGTGGAGTGTGCTGTCTGGAGTGGGAATTTTTTATTCTGACTGCAGCCTTTTGCGGGTAATTAATGGTCTGAGATGATTATTATTGTTGAGCCCCATGCACAGATTCCATAGGTGAGATAGGGGTAAATAAGTGAGTGATGCAGGGCAAGGAGAGCTGATTGTGGAACATAGTACCTTGTCTTCGATAGTATGCCCACGGTCTTTGGGGACTTTCTTGGAAATTTTTTTGTACATGTGTCTGAAATTTGAGGATTTGAGGCTATTATCAAGATGGATTCCTAAGAATTTCCCCTCTGTGAGTTTTGTGATAGGTGTTCCATTTAAACATTATGTTAAGGGAAAATTGTAGCTTTGTTTTCCCAAACTGAATGAAATAGGGCTGTCAATGTTGAAAGTAAGCTTGTTAATCATCATCCAGGTAGATATTTTCTGTAATTCAATATTTTCAGTATTGGCTAGTATGACTGGGGCTTGAGTGAGAGAAGACGTAGTAGTGTCATCTGCAAATAGTATGGGTTTGAATAGTTAGATGCATTTGGTAGGTCGTTTATGTAAATGAGAAAAGAAAGAGGGCCCAAAGGGGATTTCCCTGTGGGACCCGACTGTAATTGGTTGTGTGGAAGAGGTTAGCTCCATTTGTGTACACATATTGGCTTCTGTTGCTGAGGTATGACTTTAGGTAGTTGAGGGAGTGCCCTCTTATACATAGTGTGATAATTTTTGTGCAGCAAATCATGGGTCAACTGTGTCAAAAGCTTTATGTAGATCAATGAAAATTCAAGTGGGACTTCTTTTTTCTCGAGTGCAGTGTATATTAGTTCTAGCACATGTATAATAGCATCATTCGTGTTTTTATTAGGCCTGAAACCCAAACTGACAGGGTTGAGTATGTTGTGGGAGATGAGGTAGGAATAGATCTTTCTATGAATTAATTTTTCAAAGATTTTTTGAGAGAAGGGGTAAGTTAGATATTAGCCTATTAATTTAAATTTCAGTCTTTTTAGGGAAATGTATATACATCTTTAACAACTTAAAATATGTACATCTTTAATGACATTTTATGCTGTGAAACACTAAGTTTTCTACCTCCAGATATGTCCCTCGCTGTAAAGAAGAAAAAACATACTAATTTGTTCAGGATTCAGTCACATGTATTATAAATTTCTTAATATTGAAAATCCATTATATGGCTACAGGGTCGCCAGGTTAACACATCAGGATCAGCAGGATGCCTCGTTTATCACTGTAGTTGATTTTCTCAGTAGGGTGCCTGTTGACACCAGTTTTCCAGCAGGGTGCTGATAATCATTAATGTGACACAAAAATTGTGATAACACGACTGTAAACAATTCACAGAATGGATGGGGTTTAAACCCATGACAAGCCAGTCCTGAAACTACCAGGGCAGTGCTCTAACCACTGTTCCATGCTAGCCCATTAAGATGCACCCAACTAAGTACAGTACTGCATTTCTACGCACTATAAAGGTTAGCATGGGTCCCACTGTAACCACAAATGTAGATTTTTACAGACAAACCTCAATCCAACTTTGTTGTGGTAAGCTCTAGCTCTCGTCCCATTAAGAGCCATTACCAGTGTCTCAACCTTGAAGAGACTTAAGATAGAGCATGCCACAGCTGTGTTGGTGTGAGATTATTCTTTGAAAACCTGCACTGTGGTCACACTGGTGGTACATGCTATTGTTTCTAGTGTGTATAAAGAAAGTTTTATTTAAAATTATTATAATGTATGTTTCTACACAATGTATCATTAATTCTGTTATATACATGCAGATTGTATGTAAAATTTCAAATCTGTTTGAAAATGCTTTATTTTTTCCAAGGATTTCAAAAAAAATATATAATTTTTTTCTACTAAAATTAAGATGTTTTTGGTTAAAAAGCATTTATTTAGAATAAAAGTGCCTAAACTTATGGACATTATTGAACTTCTCATATTTAATTTAATTGGGTGAATCTTATTGGACTGGGATGGTATAATGAATAGCATGCTGGCCTGCCAGTTTTAGGATTTTCTTACATTGTTTAAACACTAGTCATGTGTGTTGTTATTACATAATGCACTATGACCCAGCCTGAATAAAATATCTGCAACCCTTCCCTGCCTACCTTCTTCCCCTCACTCTCTCACGCACACATGCATGTATTTGCCTGGCAGTTAAAGTTGCAATGATGAAAGGACATCTCTTCATTCAGTTTAACCTTTAACTGTTCCGACGTATAAATACGTCTTACGAGCCAATGTTTCTGACGTATTTAACGCACAAATTCTAGCGGCTTCATATCAAGCGCAAAGGTGGTAGGCTCTACATGAGAGAGAATGGGTCTCAGTGGTCGGTAGTGCACATGTGAAAAAATCTGGGACCTGCGGATTGCATTGTTGGGAACGCCATGTTGTTAGTACCATTTTCACATGCCTTCGGTAGAAGTCCTCACTCCTCGGGCGGATTGGAGGTCTTTTGTCCCAAGTGATAGCTTAACAGCAATGAAAATGTCAGTGACAGTGAATTCAGGGTTTTGTTTTGAAGTGATTGTTACGGAAAAGGTGCCCAGGGATAACGACATTAGGATGAAAACCAGCTGAACCACAACCTTCCACTTGGTGCTGGCCGGCTTGTTCTCGTTCACGTTCGCCTGTACCAGTACGAAAGAGGAAACTATTTGGTCGTGTACAACCCAGATGATAGCAGTGAGATGATAGTGATTTCAAGGTCACTGAAAGCAGTTCTAGTGACAGTGTGAGTGGAAATTCCCAGTGAAGTGGCAAGTATGTACGACGGTAGCTGCGGTCTGGTGTGTTTTCTTATGTTGTTCCAAGGGGAAGGAGACAACTTGGGAGGCACATCCATGTCTGCCATACACCACGACATGATAGTGAAGATGACGATATTGTAACGATGGGTATGAATGTTGTGAGTGAATGGAGTAGGCGTGGTGGTGATAGTGAGGGTGGCACGGCCCATGTGGCACATCAGCGGGCACGTATTCCCACGCTGCTGACTCTGCACAACAACCAACTCACCCTAAAACCCTTTACCCCCACACTCCCACAACCTGCCACACCACAACCTGCACAAACCACAACCTGCACAAAAACCCCGGTACAATATCAGACCCCACAGCAGGACAGCATCTGGATTGGCAGGACGGGCGTGACGAGTTGTTCCAGGCCCCATGTCTTGATGAAACACAAAGTGAAATATATAAGCCATCTTGTCCACTTGCGGATCAATGCCAGTGAACTGGACTGCTAGAGGTATCTTCGTATGAACCCTGATGGACAACATTGTCAGGGAATCAAACACAACTGTGATTTACACCATGGCCAAATACAATTCTTCTCACCAAAATCAAGGCTACCAAAAGTGGAAGGAGACAACTGTGGCACGAGATGTACCTGTTTTTGCCACAATAATTGCTTATGCCACATGTGTATAAGCACAATGTCACCACATACTGGGCAACAGAAACGCCTGATTTCAACTCAAGGTTTTAGTGACATTATAGGTGTCAATCATTTTCCAGATACTGTTAGTATGTACACTTTTCAGACTGAACCAGGCTGACAGAAGCGACAGTTATAGAAGGATAAGAAATGTGTTTTGTACCTGAAACAAAAGTGCTGCATGTATTTTTATCCCTTCAGGAAGCTTGTTATTGATGAGTCCTTGGTTTTATTCAAAGGAAGACCTAATTCAAGCATATATTCCCAAGCAAGTGGAAACGGTTTGGTATAAAGCTATTTGTACTGTGTGTTTGCAGAAGTGGTCTATTTTTGGATATCATTGTGTACCATGGCAGTAATACTTTGAGAGATACTTGAAGTTATTGTTGTATCTCTGGTGATGTGGTTCGAACAATGATGGACCATATCTTGGTTAAGGGGCATATTGTTTATTTTCTGATAACTAGTACACAAGACCATTACTCAGTTATTTCTTGCGGGACTAGTGAACTTGACAGACGTGTGTGTCACAGTGCCGTGGTATCGTATAACATATGCCAAGTTCGGACGCTGGCACTCGCAGAGGTGAGGTGCAAGCCTTTGCTGCCTATGACTCATGGGGATTTCGGTAGCATGGACAAACGTGATCGTCACATTGTTGACATCAGTTCACAGAAAAAGATACTGATATGGTACCAGTGGCAGGACAACTGAGAGGACAATGAACCATCTGAAGCCTGCAGCGTCATGATTCTACAACATCTCAATATGCCGGTTAGTGGCACAAATGTGACATGCAGATTGGGTTTGCAGACTGTGTACGCAAGAGTTATAAGTGGTATATAAACACTTTTTTTCCATCTATTGTTGAAATCTCTATTGCTAAATGCTTATAAATATACAAGTTGAAGACAACAAAACACCCAAAATATGGTGAATTTTGCCTGTCTGTAATTCAGACAAGAATTGCAAAGTTACCAAGGAGCAACTCCTGCAATAGACAGCTGGCCACAGACATCATCTCGTTTCAGGCCTGGTGATCACTACCCACTACAACTGGCCTCCTACTACTGCAGAAAAATGCTCAGAAGAGGTGTTATGTATGTATGCATACCACAAAAACGCCCACAACAGCAGTGTCACTCGTTTTATGTGTGAGGGAGTGTGAAGTGCCCCTCTGCATATACCATGTTTAAAAAGATGTTCCAACAGCTGCTGCAGTTATAGGAATGTGTTTGTGACGTAATATGTATAGTATATTATGGAAACAATAGTAATAAACATTGTTTTGTTATTGTTTGTTTGTGTAAACAAAGTGTATACACAAACTAAATAGTGATTAAGGTTGTTCTGTTATTGTGTTGCTAAAAAATGTGTGTATATTTGTTACAATGCACCTTACATTGGTATCACAGGACCCATAAGTTACCTGGAAACTGAAAAGTATTGAAAATTGCAAGAAACCTTTGAATTAGAGTAATAAAAAAAGAATACCGGGACCAAAACCTCCTCATCCTCGTGAGGCGGCTGAGCAGCTCCAACAGGAGAAGAGGGTGCCAGTTAGAATAGCGATAGGGACAGGAAATTTTAGAGTGTACGGAGAGTGTTGGAAGGTAACTCGAGTCGATAGGTGGGACACATAATATTTTGGGGGGCGGGAAGGTATTTATAGATTATTTTTGTTAGAAGTTATGGGGATGTTGAATAAATGATAAGTTTTTTTCGCATCATATTTGCGCGCGAGTAATTTGTGAAAGGTATGGAGGATAGATCACATACAGAGGCGGCCTGTATAAGTAATTATGGGTTGATTATGCTTTGTTGCGTGTTTGTTTCTTGTAACTGTATTTAAGTCACAGGGAAAATCTCAAAAAACATCCACCCCCACCCCCCCAATTTTATGTTTTAGTTAGCAGATTTGGAGGAGACTTTAACAGTGTCTAACTACGCTAGCTGAGCACAATGTGTATTACGAATAGTGATGTTTTTAGGGTTTTGTATATCTGATAAGATGAGGTTTACCTTTAGAATATGGGCATATGTACTGTATCTGTAGTTATGAGGCATTAGAATGACATTCAGTGAGTGTTGGTGGCCTGAAGACATTAGTCAAAGGTTTAATGCACGGGGGCATGATTGATGATTTTGTCTATATTAGTAATCTCGTATTAGTGCATCAGGAAGGTAAGATGTCAGTCAAACTGTAAAACATCCTAGGGGTTGGTGTATAGCTAAATGGTATATCCCCCCCCTCCCCCATCTTCAAGGCTACTCGGTTGTCTAACAAACAGGGGCAAGTTACATAATGGTTTAGTTTGATATCCAGACCCCCGCCCCCACCCCCTGAGGGTTGTTTACCATATTAGAATGGGCATACTCTATAGTGTTTTGGCGTAGCATACTGCTTGATGTCGCTGTGTTACTTATTTTGGAACCTTAGGCAGGGTGTGTGGCCAGTCCTTGGTGATGAGGAAGGAATGAGAAGAGACGAGGATGTTTGATACATCGTGGTCGACGCTGTCCAAACTGGAGTCGGCCACCAGGCCCAGCGCACGCGCCAGGACTACGCACTGCTTATGTCGGAACCACCTTCCCTGGCCTGTGCTGTGGCTCCTTCTCAAGTGCGTGCTGGATAATCGAGCGCGCGCACTGACCATGCGTTGCCAAAGGTAAATATTTGCTTATGGATTTTTCTTACAGGTAATTTATACAAATTGTCATTCACTGTTTCAATGTAAGACCAATTTCATAGTAAACTCTGGCTATAGAGAGAGATACGATTGTTCTATATCAGACTCTCCCCTGTCCCTATTCTACACTTCAACTACACAGTTCCCCCTAGATGGTTAGGTTTGTAGTATTCGCATATTTAAAAAGCTCATCCAAACCAGGCTGTGGCCAGTGATTCAATACAGTAAGGAGATATAGCCCTGTGAGAACTTTACTTGCCTGATTGGGCCCATTCTCAGGTAATAATAATATAATAATAATAATATATAATATGGACTGGTTTTTCTACACTGTAGGTGTTCATGTACAGGTATACAGGCCATGAGCTGACATCAACTGACATCACTGCAACCTTACTACTACTATACAGAATAGGAGCATCTTGTGTATGAGAGCATTTCGGGCAAATTAAGTCAGCTGTTTGCATCAGGCCTGTCTTGATCCCAGCGCCCCGGAGCGGTCAAACCGCTTGACTTACACCCAGGTCAATCACTTTATATGATGGGTAAAAAGGAACAGTAGGTGTCTTATGGAAACACATCCTAATGTTTTCCAGCCATACCAGAAATTTGAACTCCGGACCTCAGTGTGTGTGTTGAGTCGCTAGCAGTCATACTTACCTTGCGGCTTCAACAGGAAATGTTCCAACAACAACATAAGACATCTTCCAGCAACAGCAAGAATAGGGTCATGACCCAGCTAACACTCACCCTTATGATTTCAGCAGCAGCAGCAAATAGTGCCTCTCTCAGCCTCAGGGTGCCCAGCCTACTTTCCAAAAAGGGCCATTTCAAGATATCAAATCCTGGTTTTCAAACCTGAAAAAGTTTTGTGTTGAACTGGTTGAACCAAAATGCATGGTTGTTGTTGCAGACAGAAATTAATAACTTCCTGCATTGTGTCACCAGTCTTCAGACAGTTATTAATGCCAAATTCCTTGAAGAGAAGTGTTACAGCTGGAAGAGGTAGTGAATGCATTGGAGGAATTGTTTTGCTTTGTTTGTTTGTATTGTATATTATTCTCCCAACACCACCATCATGTGGGATAAATTCAAGTCAGCGCAAGAGTGTGGTGAAAGAATGAGAGAGTTCGGGACCAGATGCCAACAGAGTGCATTAGATTGTCAATTTAGGTGCCCCTTGGGTGATATATCAGAATACAGTCATCTTTTACTTTATGGCTGAGATGGGACCATAAGAATGGTTTGGTGAGCAAAAATCATGTTCAACAAATCTAATTTTCTTGTAAGATCCCATGTTATAACTTAAGATGTGGACCAAGATTGTAGCTTCCCTGTATGTAATTTGATTTTCTTGTAAGATCCCATGTTGTAACTTAAGATGTGGACCAAAATGGTAGCTCCCCGTATGTAATTTGAGTTTTCTACGTTTAGTGAATCTGATTTTCTCATAAAAGACTAATCACAGATGGATCTTAGCTGGAGACTTCAACATCAACCTTGGCTTACTAGATGATCAGCCTGTAACTGATTTCATCAACAATATGAACAACACACTTCTCATACCAACAATAACAAAACCAACCAGGCTCACTGAGACAAGTGCAACCATAATAGACCACATATGGACCAATATACTAGCCCCCCTTAAATCAGGGATAATCACAGATAGCACTACAGACCACTACCCTACCTTCCTCCTGACAAACATTAGTAAACCACCACTTGAATTCAACAAAGTCTCATTTAGACTCATGGAACGG